AAGGTCTGGAATCATGAAAAAGCCCAAACCGCTGGGTTCGGGAAATCCTTTACAGGAGTTACATAAGATGAGGAATAGGAGTGTGCATCAATTAAACAGCAACCCGATGTAGAAGCTTGAATCATGAGCAACAACATCTCCTAATCGTCTTTCTATAGCTATGTCAATAAGAACCTATTCTACTTGTTCAGGCCCGTTTACATCGCTTTAAGCTCTGATCCTAAACCTCAAGCTCCGAAGCAAGATAATATGAACATCAACTTTCCATCTGATGGCATGACGCTTAAGGACCTTAGCATACATGAAAACACAATAGAAGACACGACATCACATGTCGTGCAGTACAACAACGCAGGAGGAGACTTCCGGCTTGCAACCGTTTCAGTTACACGGAGCGTGTTCCCCACTCCCCAAACCCACTGATGGTGGATTATGGGGGGGCGAACTTATATGCATATGCATACATATATATATATGTATGTATATAGATAGATAGGACGTACATGTACATATATATATATATGTATGTATGTCAATATGTATATATATATATATACATATATATATATACACATACATATATATATATACATATACATATGCCTATATGGAGTCATATTATATGTATGGCCCCCCAAGGTGCACGAATCGAACCAGGCAGCAAGAAGGCAGATCACGTCTCCGTCTTTCAGTGGGCGGTGGTTAAAGGTCTTGGCATTGACCTGGCAGCCGCTTCGATTCTCACTACAGTCACCAGCAATTCATTCACTTCTGCGTAGCCCGAACCCTAAACCGGCCCGAGACTCTGAACGCGAACACCCGATCATCCCCAAACCCGAAACCCCGCGAATGTGTGACCCAGGCACGAGCTTCAGCGATTCTGGGGGCCACGAACGTGAATCGGCGGCTGATGGCGCGGAGCCGAGGTACGGGCACAGCTGGAACCTGGAGCTCTAAGGTTTAAGGCTGTTGAAGGGCTTGAGGCTTAGGGATACTGCTGCGAAAACTTCGAACCTTCAGACGCATTCCAAGCCACTGCTGCTGCAACTGCCCGGGGCTGTCGAATCGGCATCGTACACGGGAGTTCTCAACGTCCATGTAGAAGCCACTGCCAGACCGTAGGAACCTGAATTCTGGAGGTCCCTGAAAATTAGAAGCACCTGAATGCGGGTCATGTGCAACAGGGATCCTACTGTTTGGAGTCTCGACAAAGGTCCTCTATTTTCGGAAACCCCTGTTCCTCTTTGGAAACACTTGAGCTTTGGATGTGCGCGCACTTACCCGTCCCAGTGGCACAAAGTCACCGAGTCGAACTCGCACATCTGCCACCGGATCGCGGCTAAAAGACTTCAGGGGCAGGACTCTTGAAAACGTCAGGGGTCTAAGCTCAGAAAACCCTTTCTCTCTCAGCTCTTCATGATATCTTCCTCCCCCAAACAGTACGCGCTATTCTCTTTTCATCGTTTTGATTATTGCTATTGCAGATTATGCAGATTGCAATCTGTGGCTTTACTAGGACCATTACGGCACATCTCCTGGTATTGCGAGGATCACTCTCATTGCTAGCATTGCTATCTCCCCCCTTGACGACCTTCTCCCGGCGCTGCTTTGGCGCTGCTTTGGCGCGCACACATGGGCTGCTACGGGCCCGCTCCATCAAGCGCAACCATGGCCAAGCATCAGAGCATTTTCAGCCATTGGGGGGCGGCTCTGGGATTTAGGGCTCAGGATCAAGGGGTCAGGGGGTCGGGATTTAGAGGTTTAAGGTTTAGAGATCAGGGCTTTAGGGCTTTAGTGACCTTAGTGCTTACGAGAGGTTGAGGGTTTAGGATTAAGGAGGGGTTAGGGCTAAGGGTTGGGGGTTTAGCACATCGCTTTCGGGTTTAGGGCGTGGGCTCGGGTGCAAAAGCTGCGAGGATACGAGCCCACTACGCCAAGCTGAATGTGTGAACAAGCGGGCACTTTTGCTCCGAAGTCCATGGTGGAGTTATGGTGACATTCGGCCTCTCGGGAATCTGTAGCGAACCAAACGGCCAACAGGGTGCATGGCATGAGACACATCATGTATTTGGGGAGTGTTCCACCGTACAGTTCCCTGTAAAGTATCTACACGTACTTCAACGGTCGTCAACTATAGCAATGTACAACAACTGCAGGGAGGAGGGGGACGAGATCTGAAGCAACTCTCAGATAACCATGCCAGATTCAACAAGGGATGCTGTCAGATGCTGTCCTATGGCCTTTGCCATTCTGTGAGAAGTGCCTCAGATGCGCAGCCTGGTAGCGACTCGGCAGAAAATCCTAGGTTATAGAAAATGGGCCCTCAGGTCACTCCCTCGGAGACGGTCGGGCATTCGGGCCGAAACCCAAAGCTTCGGCAAATTTGGCAACGCGCTCGAATGCTTCAAAGCGCAAGGAAGGAGTGTACAAGCGCTGTCCCTCGGGGAAAGGCAGTCCATGTCCAAATGCCTTTAAAATGCCAAAGACTCCGCCCAAGCCTTCAGTATTCCCGATGCGCTTATCCATGCAATAGCCTACGGTCAGAGTGTAGCACTGTCCCTGCTCATTGAAGAGCATAGACTGTGCCTGCGGGGGAGCCTCAATGCGCTTGTTTGTGGGAGGGATCGGGCGAGCAAAGTTCAGCGTGCCAGTGTGAGTGCCTGTGGCACGGGCAAAGAACCAAACTCGATTTGGCTCCAGAGGGTCTACCTGAAACCAGCTATTGTCTGCCAAATCTGGCACGGCCTCCTTGATCTTGAAAGACCCGAAAGCCTTCATGAACTCCTCTTTCCCAAGCGGGCCTATGATGGGTGCCACGAACTGGAAATCCTCTGCCAGGCAGTCAGCCTTCGCCCCCTGCTTAGTTCCAAATTCGCTACCTAGGATCTCCTTCGCCATGGCGATGAGCTTTTCGGGGGAGATCGGGAACTTGCTCTGTGCCATCGTCCTCAACATCCAAATCTCCCAGAATCGAGTTCTCGGATGCGTAGACCGGAGCGTTGGAGTAGCGCGGAGGGTGCCAGGCCACCTTGTTGCGACTGGTGTTCTTCCCGCTCGAGCAAGCCCAATCGATCAGGTCCACGATGCCCAGAGAGACTGCCCGAAGCAGGCTTACCAGAGCATCTGTCCCACCCAGAATTACAGCAGTGGAAAGGTTCCCACATGCTGAAACTGAGGAGCCCATTCTCTGTTCTAGGGCTACCTGCGGCTACCTGACGGATCTAGGGCCGACAACTGCCAGAACCATCGGCGGTACACGCTGCATCTCCTCAAATAGAAAACAGGCAACACCTACGTGACGACTGGAAACGCTACTGCTGGGTGCCTTCGCCCCGAAGGGATGGGGGAGGGGTTCATCTGCCAGTGCTTGGCCCGGCCCGCGATCCTTTTGAGCGCTCAGCCCAAGAGGTCAACAATGGGCCAAGATGGCTCGAGCCATTAACATTGTGCAGCCTAAGCCTGCCCCGGCACCGGAATGCCCGGGGTGTGTGAAACTGTCTGAGATGCTTGGAGGGTTGAACCGGACACTGCCAAGGACATCCCGTCCCGAGTCAGACACTGCTGTAGGCGGCGCGCAGAGTCTTCGGGAGCCTCGGCTTGCTCTCAGAGCGGCAACGGTGATGGGCAAAGGGGGCCGCACCAGGTTCCCTTTGCCATGGCACAATGCAGTCCTGGCTTTGGCATGCTCAAAGATTGCAGCACCAGCCAGTACAGCTGCAGCACCAACCTGAGTAGCTTCCGGGACAAGGTCTGCTTTTCTCCACTCTGCAAGTCTACGAGTGCTGGAAGCAGCTCGAAAACTACTTTGCGCAGCTCTGCCCAAGGCCGTGACAATGAAACCCAGGCTGAGCCGCTCATGCAAGAAGGCACTGGACCTCACATGCAACGTGCTTCTTTATGCAGCCGGTGCGAGACATGCGAAGTTCTGTTTCTTCTGCTGGTACATGCTCGTTCTGAAAGGTCGACCCCGGTGTCAGCTTTTGTCGCCATCGCCATCGGCAAGAGTTCTTCTTTCAATTTATGGCCCCTGTTCGTGTAGTGTCACTTCAACCTGCGTTCAATCTTACAGGGTCCTAAGGCTGGGACAGAGCAACAGTGACCAGAATGTTGAGCTTCCCAGCTATCTGCGCTGCGGCCGCTCCCAGCATCTTGATCAAGACCATGCCTTGCGCACTGCAACAGAACCCAGCGTTCGATAGCCGATGAGACAGAGCCAGTCCATGCTAAGACGTCCCTCGGAGGGGGCAAGGCATGGCAAGGCACCCATGAGGCTGAGGTAGACAGCACACGCCGTGCTGAAGGCCAACCTCAACATGAGGGGCGCTGTCATCAGCTAGATCTACGGGGTACAATCGATGGTAAACGTCTGAGGAGCCCTGTTAGCTAGGGCAGCTAGGGGGCAGAAGAGCCGCTGAAGTGTTGAGAGACAGGAGCTCCATGTAAGGCTTCCAGCCCTCCAGAATCAACGTGAGAGCAAAGCCCAGCACAAAGACCTGCATTCAGGGATCAGCCCAGGCTGCAGCTTGCAAGCTGCAAGCCTCCCGGTGTGCTGCCCGAGCGCTGCTGGCGATGCCAGTGCGACGACTTGCGTCGGCTTCAATCGCGGACAAGCCTGGCATGCAAAGCTCGGTGGAAAGGACAGCTCGCAAGGAACTATTCGATATTCGAAAGGAATATTGCAACTAGAGTGTTTGAGACATCGGAAGCCAACCCTCCAGCATGGCTAGAGACGGCTGCAGTAGACCGTACAAAGAATGATAGACAAGTTGAGACAAGGAGGAGCGAGACCTTTCAAACGACTCCCTCAACTGCTGGAGTCTCTTTCGAACGGCTGGCATCCTTCTTGGCCACGAGCACATTTACAAAAGAAGCACGAAAGAGGTACAGCTGCAAACATCTTGCGATGCTACTTCCTCATCGCGCCTTATCTGCTGCATACTCGTTCATCTGACAATCCATGAGCACTGATCGGACTGACCTTGCGAAGAGGGCACCTTAGCTTTAAACAGGACTGCCAACAAAGTCTGCAACAGCCCGACCACACGCATCCAAGGGACCTACACCCAAGCTCATGCCAAAGACTGCAAGGGAGAGAGGCTCTGAGCCGCCCTTGGAAATATTCTTGAGGCCCTCGATGGAAATGACGGCATCCTCCGCCAAGATGAGGGGTTGCAGCGTGACCCTTGCTCCCTCAAGCTTGCAGCCAAGGAACTCCCGCAATGGCGATAACCTTCGTTCCCATCTTCGTGTGTCAAGCCGCCACATCTTTGGGACAGAGAACACTTTTTGGCCAGGTCACCATGCCCGCCCAAGCCAAGGAGGTGATGCGAGCGCCCAGCGTCGCAGAGACCAGAGCTGTGAGGACCTGGAGCTCAAGCCACGCTTGCCGATTAGGAAACTTGCAGGTCACTGCGACCTCCATCTTAGGCTCCTGGCTGGGCAAAGTATGCCTATGATGGCATTGAAGCCCGCACCAATGTACAATAGCGAACACGTGTTCCTGGGCGTCAAGGCTAAAGCCCGGCGGGCTGGCGCCAACCATGTATCCGTCAAGAAAACCCCCCGTCCCCACGTGGCAAAACAACATCCTCTACAATCGAAACAGGCAAGCATACACTGACAGGAAAACCATGAGTATTTCTCACATAGAAACAGTTGAGGGTGCATGAAAACCCCCACCCAGTTGCTTGATCCTTAACATGGTTATCGTGTTATTTCACTCTTATCGTTTTACGGGACTTGGGGACTGTATGATCTGAGCTAAAGTTACGAAGATTCGGTATCGTTATTTTTATTCTTATCGTACAAGGAATTCATTGCTCTCAAAGTACGGGCGCATCTACTTTAACAAATGCTCTCGGGGGTGTTATCATCCCTCAATTATTGCTTACAAAATTTAAAATTTAAAATATATACTGTCTTGATCAACGGAAGCCTGGGCCACTGCTAGGCGTGCTTGTCTCCTTGTGCCCTGGTTCCGTGCTCTGGATGTCGCTAATCAACGGCCTTCATCTACGGAAAAACCCTGCAATGTCACCTCATGAAAGCGGCTGCGCTTCTGTTGGCCAACTAGGCTAGCGAGTGCTTGCAATGCTTACAAGCTGCAGAACCACATTCAACGTCTGGAGCACCGCGATGGGCAGAATCCGCTTCACGTACCACTCTGCATTGTCGTAGCCGGAACTCTTTAAGTCCTGAGCCGATTGTTGAGCTCGAGAAATCTCCAGTGCCTCCAGAATCTGACTCCGAGTCACCATCAGAAGCAGCCCGTCCTGAGCCAGAAGCTGCCCGAAGAAACTTCCGTCGCTCCGGTGCCTCGCCTTCGCACCGGACCGCCGCTCGACGGCCCAAGACGCCAGCCAAACGCAAAGGAAGTGCAGCGAAGCCTTTGCTGGGCGATCCACATGGAAGTCTTAAGGCTTAGCTGGCTGAGCTACGCCTGAAGCTATCGGTGCAGGCACAGCAGCGATGCACGTGGGGTACACGAAGCCCGTCTGGAGCACCTCAAGCCGCGAAGGTCTGCCATGATGCTGATAGCCACCGGCATGACACGACTACACCGGTGATGCTACTGACAAACATGATGGCAACTAACAGCAATAACGATGATAAGACAAGCTGGCACAACACCAACACCGACTGTGATAACCTTGGCTCAGTGATAGAAATAGCAGCTGCCCACTTAATGATGCCAACAACTCCAGTCATGACGATGATGATGATGATGACGACGACGATGACGATGATGATGATGATGATGATGGTGATGGTGATGGTGATGGTGATGGTGATGATGATGATCATCATCATCATCTGATGATGGTGGTGGTGGTGATGAACATTATCAGAGTTGTCTTACAAAGACTTCCAAAAGCTTCGGCCAGACGAAGTCGGGCCGGGGCACTAGTTTGGTAGACAGTTGCACGGCCATGATGGCCATGACCTGGCATTCTGCAATGGAAGCTTGGAAGGAAACGAGGTAGGGCTCCTGAGCTCCCGCCTGTGTGCTGACCACGGCAACACCTGAAAGTCCATGGCTTCGGTAGGCGTAGGCAATGCCTGCACATCGCCCCAGGATCAAGGTCCGATGCTTTTGGAGGTGCGAGCTAATGCTGGGGAGTAGGGCCCCTGCCTGCAAAGATGCTGCCTGTGAAAACCAGCGCCACCCAATGCGGCAAGATCACTCCTTCCGACAGCAGCTGAAAGGAGGCAAAGCCACCTTGGTTGTGGGACGTCAGAAGACCGGTTTTCTGTTGGACACCGACGGAGCAGTCCGACATGAGGCAGCAACCAGCGCCAATCATGGTGGCCGATCAGGCAGATGCTGCCCGAGCTTCATTGTGCTAAGCCGGATAAGGGCAGTGCGGGTTCGTCAGCGCCAGGTAACAGACAATCGCTGACACACCACGGGCGTCCGGAGACCATGAGACAACCCTCTTTTCGACTTCGACACCAAGCTCGACGCATGCGAGTAATGAAATTTGCCTAGAGAGCCATGCATTTTGCACGGTTAGGTTAACGGTGCCACTCGAACGTTATTAACTTGATGATCCTGGCATTCGCGAATGCGGCGCGCCACTCGAGGGGGAAGCCGGCCGAGCAGTGCTCCTGATAGTGTTCGTCCAGTAACACTGACTTCATGGGCTGCGGCTGCGGCAAGCCGCGGTTCTGCTTGAATGACCCACGCTCATCTGCCGACTTCGTGCCGCTAGGCGGCAGGAGTCTCGGCGTCATTGGAGGCCTTCGCCTTGGCAGTCCCAGAAACAGCAGCTGCGTCGAGCCTCGGAGTGGCGAGATCAGCAGAGACAGCGTTGGCAAAAGCCAAGGCATGCCAAGGCTATAAGTCAGGCTCCAGCTACTCTGCAAACGGGGCTACGGACAGGTTGGGGTGACGGGCTACCAAACTGAGACAGGCGGGTCAGCTTTTGGATGTGTCCATGTGATCAGTGCTGTCCATCCTGGACCATGACGAAGTGCACAGGGAGCAATTGCCCTAGGGCCTAGCGAGCGGTTCCCGGGGCAGCTGCCAGAAGCAAAGACTGTTCCTGTGCCTCTGCAGAAGCTGCACGAAGGAAGCAAGAACAAAACGTGACCCGGCGGCCTCAATCTCAATGTGGAAGGGCTCCGGCTTTGGATTGAGAACCTTCAACAAGTCATGCGGTCTCCTTGGCAGGGACACTTGCTTCAGGGTCATGACTGGAGCAAGACATCTAGCTGCAGAATCCTGCAAAACACCAAAGACTACAAACATTCTGCCGTGTGTCAACTCCGAAGTCAAGCCGGTGGTGGTCAGCCTGGTAAGGGTTGTCAAAAGCCAATGACTCGGTTGCGGGGTCCCTTGCACCCAAGCCTAGCTGGCTCAACCAGCACCTGCGAAGCGGGCACCATGGCGACCTCAAAGCACAGAGATTCCAGGACACATGGGAGACACTGTATTGAAGGAGTTGACGACATACAAGTCAGAAGCGATGGTCAACAATCGCAGTAAGCAACTGACGCGCTGCATCTGTCCAGGATGCTTAGAGATCGCAGCCTTAGAGACAAGCGCGAAAGCACAGCAGCTGCTGATTCAGAGACACAGTCGAGGACTGCCGGCCATCGCTGTTTCGAAACTGTGCAAGTTCCTTTCTCCCGGCATGCGGACGGAGGCATCCGCTGCTGTGCTTTCTGTGCCCCGCAACAAGCCCGCGAACAAACCTAAGAAGCCTACAATCGGCTCATGGTGCGCTTAAACAAGATTTTCCCGTACACGCAACTTCTCTGACTCATGTCCACTACTCAGCCCATGCTCGTTACATGACCGCGCACAGGGAAGGTGCCCCCACCTCTGTCGCAACGGGCATTGCAGCAACCTGCAACAGACACGAGGCCAGACAAGAGGACGAACGCACACATTTTGGCACGGCACGAATGACTGCGACGAGCTACTGACAGGACAAGACAACCACAGATTGCGACAACGATACAGACTGACATAGAAGCTTCACTATAGGGCTGGTACTCCAGTGCCACACGGGCCCACTGGCTAATCCGAAAGCAGGTACGTCTGGCTGATCAGGCCAGATATCACCATGCACTGACAGTGTCTT